GTTTTTCTCATTGCTGTCTGATTGATCATACAGAACGGTTTCTAGTCGCAAAATTGTTTCATCTTTATATATATTGTTTCCATATATTGAATTTACGTTTTTTGACACTCCAAGAAAGAATTTTTTATATTTGACCGCGGATTACTTTTTAAGGTATATTATAATGTTTGTATTAATTTATTCCATGTTTTGACTGACTTTGTAAATTTTAGTTTTTAATTTATGATAGTTGACTGTGTATTGCATGTTTAAGATATTCTTTTACGATATTTTTTGCGTTTCGACTCATTTAGAGATTGTTAATTTGTCACACTTTATACCGTATTGATTTTTTATTATTTTAATCTTATACTGTAGAATCTGGATTGTTCTTTTATGAGAAGGACGTATTAATGTTGCTTGCATGATGACGTTACCAGCGTTCGTGTTACATTTGTTCTACATCTCACATTATCGATCTATAAAATACATCCGAGCTTTAACGATGGACAGCTATATACATCTGTTGTTGGATATTCAACGGAATTCAATTTTGTGGCATGATTATATGGATCTACCGTATGACACCTACACATTACATTAAGACTTAAACATCGAAGGTCTACGTTTTAATTATTCATCATGTTTAATATATATTTACTTATTTATGTCATTTTACTTTTATCTGTTATTTACTTTAAGGTCGAACTTTGAAAATGACCCGAAGGTGGTAGCAACGTTGGTTTTTTAAGTAGACATACGTTTATAGTGTTGTTTTATTTTTATTTCCGTATTTAAGACCAAGGATATTATATTAAAATATTAAATTAAAATTTATTTTTTTTTGCTCGCGTAGCTATATTTAATTTATTTTTTTATTTATTTTGCTTATTTATTTTATTCACAACCATAACGCCATAACGCTGGAGCCCGCAGCCGTCCAGTTACGCATCATGTATGTTCCATTCTCATTAGATTATTTAGCTATGAATCTTCGTACCTGTATCACCAGACCAAAATTGAGTTCGTGTTCTATTACAACGTGCGCCCTAAACGTATTGTAGCTTACGAATTGTAGCTCATTCCCTACAGCTATTACAAGGTGGGAAGTAATGGTATTCGAGGAATGCAAAACACTATGATTCTTTTGAAAATATATTAATAAAAACACATGCTATAAACATTTTTTATATGCAACATACTATCTCTTTAAAGTTGCGATTTTTTTATTAAAACATTTATTAAAATTTTTATTTATAATATTTAATTCATTTCTATAAATTGTATAATCTTCATTTATTTGTGCAATCATAAAATCTCTTTCGAACTTCCATTCTATTTTAGCTATGGAGAGGATATATGTAGTCCCTGATATGCTAGTTCCTGACAATAAAATTGTGAAATTTGTAGTTTACAGAAAACAAAAAAGAAAGAAACTTTACACACAAGAAAATTGCACACTTTATGGAAAATAACAATATACCAATCAATAGAATGTGAAATGTTAAACAAAAGTGCTAAACAATTGCTAAAAATGTTCAAAAAATGCATTTTGTTTGTCTCTAGTTAAAAAACATAATGCACTTTGAAATGTCTGTGTTTTTTTAGCATACAAATTAACGATGAAGAAAATGCTTTCTTAACTCTCAGAGTAGCTTATAATATGAATCTTTCAACACTGAACACTTCGTCATCTCTAACTAAAAAAAAATGAAATTTTGTCAAAACGCATTTTGAAAGTCTGTCCCTCTTTAATAATTTACTTGATGTTTTATTTTTCATAAACGTATTTAATTTACTATGAAGATGAAAAAGAATAATCAATTGAGTTTCCGGAAAATAAATTCGATAAGAGCAAAAACAATACAATTTTGATCTTTTCGCAAAAACATGTTTTCGGAAAGACGCTGAAATTACAATATTTAACATCTAATATCATAAAAAAGAAAATCATTTTTGATATGTTGTGTTTGACGAAATAATTTCTTTAACACATCCCAGGTTTCGTACTAAGAACATTATTGAGTTGATTATAATCAGGGACGCACTGAATATCCGGAAAATATCTGGTATCTTACATTATCCGACACATTTTTACCATCCAGTCGGATATCATTATATTGCCGGATATAATATATCTTGTAATATATCCGATTGAAATTTTATATTAATAGTTTGCGTTATTAATGCAGAATTTTATTCTTTTCAGCTGAATTTTGTACACAATTCATCTTTCCTCTTATTCTTTTCGTTCTTCTTTCACGCTGGGAAAATAAAAAAAATTATTATCGCTATTTTTTTTTCTGCTGCCCTCTTTTTTGTAAGACATTTTTCAATTATCCGTCGGAATATCCAAGGAAATATTCGATATTCGTTCGGATAATCCTACCGTTTATTTAACCGTATATTCGATATCCGAAAAGATTGTGACACCGGATATCCGATATCCGGTATATGGTAATTTTATGATCCAGTGCATTCCTAATTAAAATATTAATAAGAAATGGTAATCCTTTAAAGTTTATTTACTACGATAAACAACAAAGATTATTGGAGAGTTTTAAAGAACATTATATTAGATGTACAGTTATGTAATTTATGTAATGACAAATCACTGATTGTTATCATTCTTGAGGCTTCCACGGGTGCTTTCTGTATAAAGGTTATGCGTTTCGCGGGTTTCCTCCGTGTCCAGATCCATTCTTGAGATGCCAACGTTTCGTGAACCTTGCAGTCCACTTCAGCGGGGCGAGGGGCAGCCTGATATTGAGCTGTTCCTCCGGGCCGTTCCTTTTTATATTACGCTGCTTGTTGGGGTAGTGGGGATGGGCGGAGAGGGAGAAGGGGTTGTGGGAGGGAAAAGAGGTGGTGCAATTGGTGGAAGATAAAGAACCTTCTTCTTCTCGGACAAAGCATACAAAAAGCTTGACAGAGATCCAACTAACACAATCGCACAGTACACCAAGATCCTAGTGGAGAAAAACAACATTCCCAATGAAACAAAAACAATATTAAAACCAACAAATCCTCTTCCATCAAGACTATACGGACTACCGAAAGTACACAAATCAAACATCCCGCTCAGACCGATTGTTAGCGCCGTACACTCCCCGACATACAACTTATCGTGCTTCCTAGCACGAACACTACAACCCCTCACTGGAAAAACCGAATCACACATAATCAACTCAACGGACTTCATACAAAAGATTAAAAAAATCTGACTACATCCCACAGACCTGCTCGTAAGTTTCGACGTAGAATCCCTTTTCACACGAGTCCCAATAAAAGACACATGAAACATAATAAAGGCCTCACATGAAGTCCCTCCTGACCTCATCCCACTAATAGAGCACTGCTTAACAACCACTTATTTCTCCTATAACAACCAATTTTATTAACAAATTTCAGGAGCGGCGATGGGCTCTCCTATTTCTCCTATAATCGCCAACATCTTCATGGAACGTTTTGAGAAAGAGGCCCTCAGAAAAACACCCAAAAAACCAGAAGTTTGGTTCCGTTATGTAGACGACACATTCGTGGTATGGAGATATGGCAGAACCGAACTACGTAAATTCCTTGTTTTTCTCAACAAACACCATCCAAATATCCACTTCACTATAGACATAGAGGAAAACGGAAAACTCCCTTTCCTAGATGTTCTTGTCTCTAAGAAAGCTGACGGTACCTTAGGCCATCAAGTGTACAGAAAACCAACACACACAGACAGATATCTACATGCCGAGTCGCACCACCACCCAGCACAAAAACAGTCAGCAATCAACTCACTAGTACATAGAGCTTTCACCATCTCTGACAAAGAACATCTACAGACAGAACTCAACCACCTCAAACTGGTCTTACAGAAAAACGGACACGACAAAAAAGACATAACCAAAATAATCAATAAACATGCAAACAAGACTACGGTCTTTGACACACAACCAGACGAAAGGATTCTAACCATCCTCCCATATGTCAAAGGAACAACAGATCGGATTGGCAGGATATTAAACAAACACAATATCCGAACTATCTTCAAACCACCCAAAAAGATAGGACAAATCTTAAGAAATCCTAAAGATCAAAGACCTCCACTCAGTTCCGCAGGAGTATACAAAATACCTTGTTCCTGCGGGAAAGTATATATTGGAGAAACCGGGAAAATGGTCAACCTACGGATCAAAGAACCCCCAACGTGATGTCAGACTAAAACACACCACGCAGTCGGCATTATCAGAGCACTACATCGAAACAGGACATCAAATACTGTTTGACAAAACGACCACAATAGTCAACAGTACATCATACTTTCCAAGAAAGTACAGAGAAGCCGTAGAGATACAAAAACACCTAACAATCTAAATAGAGATAATGGCTACAACATAAATAAAATATGGAAGACCTTTCTCTCAGTTATTGAAGACCGATCAATTCCACCACCTCTTTCCCCTCCCAAAATCCTTTCCCCCTCTCCGCCCATCCCCACTACCCCAACAAGCAGCGTAATATAAAAAGGAACGGCCCGGAGGAACAGCTCAATATCAGGCTGCCCCTCGCCCCGCTGAAGTGGACTGCAAGGTTCACGAAACGTTGGCATCTCAAGAATGGATCTGGACACGGAGGAAACCCGTGAAACGCATAACCTTTACACTGATTGTTATATATACTTAAAATAAATTTTTGTAACTGTTGATTATCAGATTAAAGGTCGAAACGTTTGATTAGATTTTATTTTAATTTTTATTCTTTGTGACTGTATTGTTTTTTCTGCAAAACAAATTAAATGTTGACTTAAAAAGCCTTTTGATATTGAACATAAATTAATTAAATTTTTGTTCAACTGAGAGAACCATTATTTTTATTTCATTCTTTAATCGTTACAATTAATTGTTATAAATAATTTTTTTTAAATATTAACTTTATTTTCAGAGTATGTATTTGGGTCTTTCAATGCTTTCGTCCACTATATTTTTATTTAGTCTCACTTTCAGATATTAATATGTCATTTTTGCATTTAGGTGGGCCTGCTCCACTATAGAACGAGGATATTCTCCAGTTGATGCTTATGAATTAAGTGCCATAGCGTCATTTCACCATCCACAAGGTTTTGTGTATGGCTACATAAGAATGGTAATTTGTTAAATAAAAGTTTTACGTAAAAATTTTACTTGAAAAATACACGATTTTTTGAGACAATGTACAATTGTAGACGCAGCTTGTTTACAAAGATGATAGCCAGAGTGAGACGATAATCGAAGTAAATTTACGACATCCCGGAAAGCATAATCGCAACACCGTAAGAAAATGAGATTTATCGAATGTATATCTAACACACGTTATGTTAATTTCGTTCAATTTTAGAGCAGAAATCATAATTGGGCTATATACGTGAACCCTGTGGGTGTAGATGCCGCGGTGAAAATAAAGGATACGCGATGCGTAGCAGCGGGATACACATGGAATCCCTATTTCACACAATTAGCCGATCCATTGAACGTAAATATTATTGATTCCTTGAAATATACTTTTTAATTTATCTAAAAAACTTTTTATATTAATATACACATGTGTTAATTCGGTAAATGATGAAAATAACAACCCCAGTTCCAATCTTAATCTTAACATATATTTTCAAGGTTGTGACCCTGAGTGATCTTCAGAAGGTTTTTATTCCGCGATCATTATTCGTTCAAAAGTTATTAACAATCCAAACAACACGAAGTCGACTAAAAGTCGACTGTAAGTAGACTGGAGAAGTCAAGAATTAACTTTAAAGTCAGCCCGAATGTCAACTAATAGTCGACTAATAATCGTCTAATACTTGACGAATGTCTCAAAAAAAGTCGACTAAAAGTCGACTGAAAGCCGATTGTAAGTCGACTGAAAGTCGAGTATAAGCAGACTGGAGAAGTCAAGAGTCGACTTTTTAATCAAATATGAATGTCGCCTAATAGTCGACTATTGTCTCGAAAATAATCGACTATTATTAATCCAGTTAATTAAAATTGACAAATTATCAAATAGTCAACTTCTGTATGGTTGATGTTCCACTTCTTTGTTAAGTTATTGGGCATTGATGACTGAAAGATATCTTATAGTTATCAGTGTCCATTACTCATATACAAATTTTTCACCGTTTTTAAACCTCATATAGACCGTTTTTAGCCCGTTTTTAGCCCATTCTTGCCCGTTTCTTGCACTCGCAAGCACTCGCAGTGTACCATGAAGAAACAATAGTGAGTATACACGAGTACGTAATGAGTATTTTTGAGGAGATTTTCCGTTTTCAATACTCGTTTTTCCGCTGATAAACGACAAACGTATTCACGAGTATGATCATGAGTATTTTTGAGTGAATCGTCTGTTTTCAATACTCATTTTGCCGCTATATGTATTTTTGAGTGGATTATCCGTTTTCAGCTGATGAGTGAGAGTACGTTAATACGACCTTTCTCTTTTACCCGTACATTTACCTATCATTTATTAATTACCATATTCGTACAATTTCAAATAAATTAAAATAGAATTTATGTAATAATTCATTATTTATTATTGTATATATATATAAACACACACATATGTATGTATGGTAATAAATTAATAATAATAATGAATTATTATTGTATGAATTCTATTTTTATCTAGACAATTAATTTATCAATGGTTATATACTAGGTATGTAAATATGAAACCGGAATTTACCAATAGATGGCCATAGCTGTCAGTGTAGTAGCAGTCAGACCGCGTCATTGACGCCATTTCCTTATTCTGACATCTGACAAAGATTTTTAACTCACAAGAATACAAGTTTCATACAACAGTATAGTTTGTAATAGCGTTGAACATGTCGAATTTTGTGCCTGGAAACTACGATTTGCGGACAGCATTGATTTTCTGTTACCATTTCAAGAAAACTGCTGCAGAATCGCATCGAATGCTTGTGGAAGCTTACGGTGAGCATGCTCTTGGTAAATCACAGTGCTTTGAGTGGTTTAAAAAATTCAAAAGTGGCGATTTTGATGTGAGAAACGAAGAACGTTGAAAACCACCGTAAAAGTTTGAAGGCAGCGAATTACAAGTATTGTTGGATGAGGATTACGCTCAAATTCAAAAACTCGCGGATCAATTGAATGTGACACGAGAAGCCGTCTCCATACATTTGAAATCCATGGGAAAGATCCAGAAGATGGGAAAATGGGTTCCACATGAACTGAATGAAAGACAGCACGAAAACCGAAAAACCACTTGCGAAATGCTGCTCGCGAGGTACAAAAGAAAGTCATTTCTCCATCGAATTGTGACTGGCGATGAAAAGTGGATATATTTTGAGAATCCTAAGCATAAAAGATCATGGGTAACTCCAGACGAACCATCGACATCGACTGCAAGGCCAAATCGCTATGGACGGAAGACAATGGCTCTGTGTTTGGTGGGATCAGAAAGGTGTGATCTATTATAAGCTGCTAAAACCTGGCGAAACCGTTACTGAACGCTACTGATAACAAATGATCAATTTGAATCAAGCTTTGCGTGATAAACGACCGGAATATCAAAAAAGGTAACACAAAGTGATTTTGCTTCATGATAATGCACCATCACACACAGCAAAACTGGTCAAGGAAACAGTTGAGGCGTTTGGTTGGGAAATACTTTCGCATGCGGCTTACTTACCAGACTTGGCTCCGTCCGATTACTACTTATTTGCATCGATGGGACACACACTTGCTCAGCAGTGCTTCACTTCTTACGAAGATGTACGAAAATTGCTAGATGACTAATTTGGCTCAAAAGAGCAACATTTTTTTTAGCGTCGCATCCACAAATTGTCAGACAGGTGGGAAAAATGTATAGCTAGCGATGGGCAATATTTCAAATAAAATATTTTTTATCATTTTCATGCAATAAACGTGTATTTTCTATTAAAAAATTCCGGTTTCATATTTACATACCTGGTAATCGCGTCCACAACCCTAGGAGTCGGGGCGATTCCCCGCTCCCTGATCCTTCTAACGTGAGTGCCCTCTGCGCGCCGACCGCCAACTCGGCCAATAACATTCCCGCCAGGGCCGCAGCTGATGCAAGAGACACCGTCCTGTACGCTCGGGCGAGGTGGAGAGCAAGATTTTTTTAAATTGCGTACGGAGTTCTCTTAATGCTCGCTTTGCTCTACGTCTCACCCGGGTACCGTACATGAGACACAACATGACGGCGCCCGCGTACATTTTGCGCACGGATCATTCAGGTTGGGTATCAAGCGGGCGAGAGCGCCTGCCATTCTGCCCACCCTGGGAGCCAGCGCAGTGAAATGTTCGCCGCATCACCATCGGCCGTCCAGAGTGAGTCCCAGATACTTGATCGTGGGGGTTATCCGGACGCGGACCGTCTCTACGAGAACCCAGGAGGTTCCCCGTACCTCCCGTTGTGAAAGAATAAGCATTCAGTTTTTTCGGGAGACACCCTCAATCCCAGGCCCTCCACGGAGCCAACGACACGCTGAGTCGCGCGAAACGCGCTGCCGATCGTTTTCCCCTAGTCATCCCTTGCCGCGAGCACCAGGGTGTCGTCTGCATAGCACACCACCTCGGCTCCTGGCGGGAGAGCGGTGCGAAGGACGGTGTCGTACGCCATGTCCCATAAAGGCCCCAGAATCGGTTCCTGGGGGACCACCTCACAGTTCCCACCGTCCCTGTCTGTGTATGCTAGAGTCCTCTCCCGGAAGTAATCCTCTATTATGGCGGCCAGGTAAGGGGACATTTGGAAGTAATCCATCGCATCCCTCACCCGGCCCCAGGGAGGGTGTTGAAAGCATTGAGTATGTCTAGTGACACCGCCACCACAACCCTCCTCTCCCTAACGTTAGCGTCCGCGAAGGCCCTCACCTGGCCGATTACGTAAATCGTGGAGCGGCCCTCGCGGAAGCCATATTGTCTCTCGACAAATTCCTACTACTCTCCCGTAAGAGGTGCCAGACGATGCGAGCTGAGATCACTCTCTCGAAAAGTTTACCCGCCTCGTCTAGCAGACAGATCGGACGGTAGCCCGCCGGAGAGCCCACAGGCCTGCCCTCCATTCGCAGGAGAACAAGCCTCGTACTTTTCCACGACCGGGGAAATTGGCCACACCTGAGGCATTCCATAAGGAGGTGCCTCAGATACCTGCTCATCGCGTCGGAGGCCAAGGCCCAAGCCCTACCGGGAATCCCGTCCGGGCCCGACTCCCTAACGGGACCCTTCAGCCTGTGAAAGGCTAGAGCCAACTCCTCCCCCCACTCGAATGTGGGGGCGACGCGAGGTGGTATATCCGCTCCCCGTCCCGCGGGGAATTGTCCCGCGATCATCTCTCCCGCCAACCGGGGGTCCAGGGTTTCCACAATGGGGGAGCCGCCCGCGTTCAGTCGTTTGACAACGATTTTGTATGGTTTCCCCCAAGGGCCCCTATCCAGAGAGGAGATAAACTCTTTCCAGGCCCGTGCCTTGGCCGCCATGATCGAGCACCGCAGCTCCCTTCGTGCGGCTCGGAGGGTAGCGTAGCGGTACTCGACCTCTTCCATCGAGCTCCCCGCACCTTAGCCGAAGATAGGCGCGCCTGGTCCGGCCGGAGGAACGCCTCAATTCCGCGATCCTTTCCAACCACCAGTACGCCGCCATGTGACCCGGCGGGAGGCGACGACGGGGCATCGAGGCGTCGCACGCCCTCCACATAACATCGCGAAGCCTCTTCACCCCACCGTCCACATCGCTGCCGCCTCCCTATTCTCCAATGGGAAAGGCCCCGCTCGTTTCCACGTGGGCCATGAACTGATCCACGTTTATTCTACCGAACGCCCAACTCTTAGACGTGGTCCCACGAACGCGGAGGCCGGTTCCAGCCTTACCGTCCCGTCCGAGGCGGAAGATGATGTAATTGTGGTCGGAGAGAGTCTCCTCACCAAACAGCACATCCCAGCCCCGGACTCCTCGCACGACCGCTGGGATGTGCTGTGTGGTGAGGAGACTCTCTCCAATCACAAATACATCATCTTCCGCTCGCTTCAGATTGACGATCGAGTCCCCCCGACAAGTTTCAAAGGTGTTGATTGCACAATCGTTGCGAGGCAGAGCCCCAATCCGTCGGCCCATTCCTCCACCAGCCTTCCCCTGACATTTGTCCGGGGAGAATCCCAACGTCGCGACCAGGCGTTGAAGTCCCCCGCTATCAGCACCGCCGCTGAACGCTGCCTGACAACGTCCGCGACGGCGTCCAACGCAAGCTCGTACTCCGCCAGGTTCCAGCTCGGCGGCAGGTAGCAGGCCACCACGCTGATCGGTCCCCGCTCCACCGCCACGAAGGCGCCTCCTTCGGAGGTCACGCAGCAGAGGGGCTGTCTGCCACCCGCCATCCCCCAGACAATCGCGACGGAGTCGCACCCATTAGTCGCCCATTTTGGGTGACCCTCGGGTACTCGATACGGCTCCGACGCTATTCCCACTTCCAAGCCGCGTTTCGCGAGGGTGTGC